AGGCTACAGGCCTGTTTATGAAGTGGAAGATGAGGAATTGTATAATAAATAACAAATATGGATACTGGCAAACGTTGAAATGTAGGTGACGGATACAGCAGTATTCCCGATATTTAGGACCAGGGAGAAAGGGATGACTTTACAACTCAAGGTACGCTAAAGAGACATTTCAACCAAGAGCCAGTTCTGGAGACCAAAAAATTGTGTTGAAAGGGGAACTGAAAAGGATTATTTAAACAAGAGAATACTGATGCCGGAGGTCAGATGTCAGTCAGCTATAGACGGCCAATAAAAAAGGAATAAAAGCTCAAAACATGAAAAGAATATGGAAGGAAAAAAAATTAAAAATATACAGCCAGATAAAATTGATATATTATATTGATAAAATTGATTATATATATATATATATATATATATATATATATATATATATATATATATATATATATATATATATATATATATATATATATATATATATATATATATATATATATATATATACAAAGCACTAAAAATGACCAACGACACGAACAATAATAATTGTCAAATTTTCGGGACAACCTGTCCCTTCCTCAGGACAAAGAAAAAAGTTAAGAAGTCATAAAAACAAAGGAAATAGAGAAGCAAAAACAACTAGCACTACTACTAAACTACCAAACACTAAATATTTACAAGGTTACATGTTTAATTTGGAGTTTATAAACAGTTGTGAACAAAGAAATCCGGAGCGCTATGAATTGCGTCCGGTCTATCGGGTGTACTCGGTGAAGTGTGATTTACATAATTGAACGAATTAATTATCGCTAATTAATTACGGCCAACAGTAAATCGTACATTGTCTTATTCTCTCAAAATAGCGTAACTCTACATGATAAAAAGAAATTAAAGAAAGATAATATGGAAGGACAATTTTGAAATATGAATTAGGATATATTAATTTGGAAATCGGAAAAAAAGAAATAAACAAAAATGTGAGCTGTAAATATTTGGGTAGGTTGTTCCAGGATTATTAATACGAATTAACGGTAAAGTTTACGCTATATAGAGAGAATGAACTTGTTTGTTACAATTCGGGATTGGGTCTAGTTCACGTTCATCCTGGTGAAGTCATTAAGTTTGTTAATACCATTAGGGCGGAATGACTTCAGCCTGTGCATCCAGAACTTTTCCTTGCCTTTTCTCTGCGCGTCTGTCCATCTTGGATTATGGTCAATAACCACTACTGTCATGTCCTCCCATTTGTGACCTTCAAGGTTGAAATGTTCCCCAACGGGTTCATTGAGTTTTTTGGTCCTAATGGTAGAACGGTGATTATTGACTCTCCTGCGGAGATCTCCTGTTTCACCAACATACTGTTTGGAGCAAACTTTGCAGCTGATGAGATAAATGCAGTCGTCTGTTTGACAGGACAAATTCCCTAGTATTTTGTAGCTGCGGCCTGTAACGGGGCTGTTAAAACTGTCTGTGTCAGAGCTGTACTTACAGAGAAGACATCTTCTGTCAGAGCAAGTTTTAAAGCCCCCGTTAGGTAATGGATTGTCCAATCTGGTTCTTACTACCATGTCCTTCAGGTTCCTCGGGCGCCTGTATGCAGCCAATGGGGGCTCCTTAAAGACCTCTGCCATTCGTTTATTTGAGTGGAGAATTGGCAGATTCTTTTGAAGGATACCGCTGAGGTTCTTAAGGACGGGATGGTATGTAGTAACCAGAGGGACCCTGCCGCTATTGTCTTTTTCCTTGTAGCGTAATAGGTTTTGCCTGTCATATCCCGCCATCTCATCAATAGCAGTTTGTACGGTGCGGGCATTGTAGCCTCTCTTGCATAAGTGGGACTTAAGGAGACCGCTTTGTTCTTGATATAAGGCAGGGGATGAACAGATGCGCCGAATTCTGGTGGCTAGACCCTTAGGCACACCCTGAAATGTGTGCGGGGGATGACAGCTAGTTGGCATAAGATACAGATGGGAATCTGTGGGTTTCGTGTGGAGACTGAACTCGATTTCACCATCAGTCAGGGTAGATGTAGTATCTAGGAATATGTTTTTCGAATTAGATACGTCTACTGTAAATTTGATAGACTGATGAAAGGTGTTGGCGAACGAAATGAATGCCTCGAGGCTCTCGCGACATTCCACCCACTTCATCTCTATATCGTCAATGAAACGCAACCAGCTAAGGGGCCTAAATGGTGCTTGAAGTAGCAAGTTGCGTTCCAGTCTGCCCATGAAAATATTGGCATAAGATGGTGCCATTTTCGTACCCATAGCAGTGCCATTAACCTGCAGGTAATGTTCTCCATTAAACATGAAGTTGTTATACTTGAGAACATGTTCAAGGAGCTTGGCAAGGGACCCGGTAGAAGGAATTTGTATGGATCTACTATCCCAGACTTCTCTACAGGCTTCGATACCCTCATCGTACGGAATATTGGTGTACAATGCCAATATTTTCATGGGCAGACTGGAACGCAACTTGCTACTTCAAGCACCATTTAGGCCCCTTAGCTGGTTGCGTTTCATTGACGATATAGAGATGAAGTGGGTGGAATGTCGCGAGAGCCTCGAGGCATTCATTTCGTTCGCCAACACCTTTCATCAGTCTATCAAATTTACAGTAGACGTATCTAATTCGAAAAACATATTCCTAGATACTACATCTACCCTGACTGATGGTGAAATCGAGTTCAGTCTCCACACGAAACCCACAGATTCCCATCTGTATCTTATGCCAACTAGCTGTCATCCCCCGCACACATTTAAGGGTGTGCCTAAGGGTCTAGCCACCAGAATTCGGCGCATCTGTTCATCCCCTGCCTTATATCAAGAACAAAGCGGTCTCCTTAAGTCCCACTTATGCAAGAGAGGCTACAATGCCCGCACCGTACAAACTGCTATTGATGAGATGGCGGGAAATGACAGGCAAAACCTATTACGCTACAAGGAAAAAGACAATAGCGGCAGGGTCCCTCTGGTTACTACATACCATCCCGTCCTTAAGAACCTCAGCGGTATCCTTCAAAAGAATCTGCCAATTCTCCACTCAAATAAACGAATGGCAGAGGTCTTTAAGGAGCCCCCATTGGCTGCATACAGGCGCCCGAGGAACCTGAAGGACATGGTAGTAAGAACCAGATTGGACAATCCATTACCTAACGGGGGCTTTAAAACTTGCTCTGACAGAAGATGTCTTCTCTGTAAGTACAGCTCTGACACAGACAGTTTTAACAGCCCCGTTACAGGCCGCAGCTACAAAATACTAGGGAATTTGTCCTGTCAAACAGACAACTGCATTTATCTCATCAGCTGCAAAGTTTGCTCCAAACAGTATGTTGGTGAAACAGGAGATCTCCGCAGGAGAGTCAATAATCACCGTTCTACCATTAGGACCAAAAAACTCAATGAACCCGTTGGGGAACATTTCAACCTTGAAGGTCACAAATGGGAGGACATGACAGTAGTGGTTATTGACCATAATCCAAGATGGACAGACGCGCAGAGAAAAGGCAAGGAAAAGTTCTGGATGCACAGGCTGAAGTCATTCCGCCCTAATGGTATTAACAAACTTAATGACTTCACCAGGATGAACGTGAACTAGACCCAATCCCGAATTGTAACAAACAAGTTCATTCTCTCTATATAGCGTAAACTTTACCGTTAATTCGTATTAATAATCCTGGAACAACCTACCCAAATATTTACAGCTCACATTTTTGTTTATTTCTTTTTTTCCGATTTCCAAATTAATATATCCTAATTCATATTTCAAAATTGTCCTTCCATATTATCTTTCTTTAATTTCTTTTTATCATGTAGAGTTACGCTATTTTGAGAGAATAAGACAATGTACGATTTACTGTTGGCCGTAATTAATTAGCGATAATTAATTCGTTCAATTATGTAAATCACACTTCACCGAGTACACCCGATAGACCGGACGCAATTCATAGCGCTCCGGATTTCTTTGTTCACAACTGTTTATAAACTCCAAATTAAACATGTAACCTTGTAAATATTTAGTGTTTGGTAGTTTAGTAGTAGTGCTAGTTGTTTTTGCTTCTCTATTTCCTTTGTTTTTATGACTTCTTAACTTTTTTCTTTGTCCTGAGGAAGGGACAGGTTGTCCCGAAAATTTGACAATTATTATTGTTCGTGTCGTTGGTCATTTTTAGTGCTTTGTATAAATTTCCATCCGTGACCTTGTATCTACTTAGTAGATCCGACACTTAGGATATACAGTGTTGTTGGTTTTTAGTGCTTTATATATATATATATATATATATATATATATATATATATATATATATATATATATATATATATATATATATATATATATATATATATATATATATTCCAATGATTTAAACCACAATCTGATGTAAAAAAAAAAAAGTTGATAAACAAACATATAACAGGAAATAGGAAAGGACAATAGAAAAAGAAATTCAATAAACCTTTAAAAGTTTTTTTTTTTTTTTTTATCAAAAATCAATAATCAATGATTTCTTAAAAGCATAGGTGTCAATAAAATTTTCAGCTAAAAACAATTTCATTGTAGATTTAAAGTACAAATAAGCCATACTATTTTCCTTCTTTTGAAAGTTTCCTTTCAAATCACATTAAAATTGTTTTAAAAAGTTCTAGACACACAACGAGCAATTGGTATTTGCTTAGATTGAATACACATATCTTTACAAAGCGTTTAGTAACTTTTAGATCAGGTACGATAAGATGAATACACTCCCCCACCTAGTTTTTCCCATGACATCACAAAAGAAACCCGATATAACCCGTCACTCTGAATCTCTCCCGTCTAGTGAAGCATGACAATTTTCAATAAAATCCCGATATATTTACACGATATCCACCCAGCCGAAAAGGTAAATTAAGATATTACATGTCTGTACCGAGTCTATCCTTGCACTCTGTATTCAACAATCAAAGCAGAACACAAATGCGATGAAATAATATTTACTTGTACTATTATTTTCGGAATAAGGAAGTCTGACCAGTGGCCATGATGGTGTCAAACAGTCTGGTTGTGCTTTATATCACTGTAGGTGTCAATTACTGTTGTTTTATCAATCCATGTAACTTTGGCGAGTTTTGTGAGAATGGGGGAACCTGTTCCTTGGGGGAAGACTGCGTCGCTGATTGTAAATGTAACCCTGGTTACGCGGGAAAAAGATGCCAAACTTACAATAACGGATCCACCAATGAATGTGCTTCGTGTCTGAAAAACCAAACCTGCGCCCAGTCAAAAGATAGTAATAATAGCTGGTCCTGTGTTACCATGACAACTACGACAATTTCTGTGGTAACATCAGCTACAGTGGATACCAATGTTTCACGTGACGTTTGTTCCGTGGATTATGTAAACCGAACAAAGACAGACCGAACGTGCCTCAGTTTTGAGTGTGTCTATGGGCTCTGCAATAAGAGTTATGAGTATATCGGGGGTACACAAATGCTCACGGCTAAGTGCGTTTGTGACCCCGGGGCTACCGGGACAAAGTGTGAGTTTCAGTGTTGTTTAGACTGTGCCCATGGATTCTGTCAGTATAGCATTAGTGAAAAGAAAGCGTTCTGTAATTGTGATCCTCAATATATGGGGGAGAAATGTTCTGAACTTAGGCCAAGCAAAGGTAATACAAGTAAAATGCACAATATGGATTGTGTCTTATCATATGTTTGTCATGTTTCTTTGAATAACAATTTCAGACAACTTCAAGAATACAAATTTGTAAGCTTTGAAGGTAAAAGAGTTCTGTAAGTGGTCTTGAGTTTTATAAAATTCAGGTCATCATAATTTTCTGAATTTTATCCAATGTGTCAAAAGTCAAATTGGTTGCCCCAATCCGCTTTTCATGGAAATAAAACTGATTTATTGTCTGAGAGAAGCATAAATAAAGTCAAATTTCTTTGAAGTATATATCAAGAAAGATTTTTTTAAGATAAAATTAATTTAAAACAAGAGGCCTATTACGGAACGGCATGTAACACCGTTTAGTTGTCTTTAATTTGTTTTTCATTTTTTAACAAATTTTTTAATGAAGGTTCATTGACCATTGGATAAGAGAAATATCTCTTACTGAAATAATTGTCTAATATTCCTTTATAAAATTCTCAAATTGAAAAGACAATTTTTTGTCAAATTTTGTCTGTAAGGTATGAGGAAATTGTGTGTATTTTAATCATAAATATATTAATTAGATTTCTTTCTGAAAATAGTAAGCTTTCAAGCAAAATTTTACAGGAGGGAAGAAATAGAGGACGAACTTTAAATTGTCCATGCTACAATATTGCTAAATTTATCATATTCCTTCAACTCGACATTTAGATATATCGATGACGTATTGTCAATTAACAATGGCTATTTCCATTCTTATGTCGATACGATATATCCTTGTGAACTTGAGATAAAAGATACCACAGAGTCTGACACATCTGTTTCATGCTTGGATATTTTACTTGAAAAAGACGTTAATTGTAATCTAACAACCAAGCTTTATGGTAAACGTGATGACTTTAACTTTTCAATCGTCAACTTCCCTTACTTGTGCAGCAATATACCTTCATCACCTGCATACGGGGTATATATCTCTCAGTTGATTCGATACGCAAGAGCATGCTCTACGTATGTACAATTTCTAAAACGAGGTAAATTATTGACAAATAAGTTGATGAAACAAGGATATCAGCTGTCTCGTTTAAAGTCATCATTTCGTTAGTTCTATGGTCGATGCAATGACCTTGTCAGCAAATACAATTTATCATTGAGTCAAATGCTGACTGACGTTTTTCACACTAATTGTTGGGCCATTATTTACACACTGAATTGTCGACGGATTTTCCGTTATTTCCTAATCATGACAAGGAGCACACGGCGGGTGTGATCGGTCGGCAGGGGATGCTCACTCCTCCATGGCACCTGATCCCACCTCTGATGTTTGGAGGTCCGTGTTTGCTCTGCTCCTATTTTGTATTGATTGATGGACTTTTAAGCTTGAATACTGTTCGTTATCTCCATATATTTCATTTGATAAAATTCACAAGCATTTTTTTGCTATTTCACATCTGTGTTTTTGTTTGTTTGTTTGTTTTTATCTTTTCGGTTTTTTTTAGACTTACAAACTTCGGATCCGGACTGGATATGGTGGCTTGTCGGCGGTTGTATTGTTGTTTTCCTCATCTTTGTGTTATTGCTGGTGGTAGTCCCGTATTGTCTTTGGAAGAAGAGAGTTCTTGTGGTCATGAAAATCGCCTACTTCTTCCAGCCTTACGAAGACAACGGTAAGTCTCAAAACATTCCTACTTGTTCACAGTCGAATGAACTATGTAATTTCTAAATAATTCAAATACATGAATCTAAGTTCACTTTTTACTACCTTTAATTGTCCGTGGCAAGGGTTGATTTACTGCATAGACTGTGTAAAGTTTTATATATATATATATATATATATATATATATATATATATATATATATATATATATATATATATATATATATATATATATATATATATATATATATATATATAATAGGCTAAATATTCAGTGTCATAGTAACAGAACATAATAGTATTAATTAAAATGAAATAAAACCACAGTGCATTGAAATAATTGAACCACCTTTCATTTACTGTATAATAATAACCAGTGTGTATACATGGCCAATGGAGCATACCCATCGAAGTGCGTCATCCATTATTTGTTCATGCTAGAGATGTCAATCCAGTTAAAATGAAATCAAGATAAAATTGGAAAATATACACTTAAATTGTTCAACGAGGATGATTCAGCTATCCCTGGTTACAAATTATTTGACATTTATTTTCCAGTTGTCCACTATGTAATTAAATGTACGTGTTAATTATCGGAGATTCATCTAAAAAGCTTTTGCTCCTGTATAATAGTTATTCCTCCGGCAGATTGATAGGTTAAAAATGGCAGGTATACATGAAATTATAGCAAATAAAACCAAAGAAATGAGAACAATGTAACAGTGTTTTACAAATACAACCAAATATCAATATGCTTCCTGGTATATTTTTATAATTCTATACAAATATGAATTCCTTTGTTGTGTTTGTGTGGGACGCAAAAGAAAAAAAAATCAGTTTCATTAATAAGTCAATATACTGAAATTATGTTCGCCTCCCTCTAAGTACGTAATGTAAGTAAGTGAGTAAGCAGTAAGTCACAGATGACATTGTAATATATATATACATATTTATGATAGTATTATATTATATAATCACTTTTATCCGTTATAAGACTATTAGTACATTAAACAGCCTTAATGAAAAAATTCGTTGTCTATTTCTAGCTAATTTGCTTCAAACTTCATATTTCTAATATTTATGTTATGATGGGTCACCAACTTGTAGACATTTTTTCTTTGGTCAGATGTCATTTATATGGTACAAATGTTTAAAATAAAAACTCATGAGCAAGAATTTATCACATATAAATTGATTAATATTTTATTTTTTACAATAACATACCAAAAAATTATAGTTCAAAATTTTAGATACGATAGTGAAGTATAAAAGGGAAAGGTCAAGAATTACACAACACAGTGTTCAAGAAAAGAGATTAAGATCAAAATTTACAACTGTATAGAAATACAGATATACAATTTTCAATGTAACAAATTGTGAATTTACACGTCTAAATTTTTGAACACGATCGAGTACCCTCCATAAATACAGGCCAGTGTAATTACATTTACGTATAATCGCAAGATACCGTTTTCTCTAATGGCATAAAATATCTTTGAAATTCGTTGTTAAAATACAAGGAATAAAAGAATTACAGTAATCTGTTATTCCTTTTGAAAATCTTGATATCCGGTAAAAATGCTCATGACTTCTCTCTATATGTAGACTGATCTTTATATGTATTGATGTATATGTAAAATATAAATGTTATATTGTAGATGATAAGGTCTGGGATGCTTTTGTCTCCTACAAATCTGCTGGTCCAGATGAAGACTTTGTGTTGAACAAACTACAACCAGTTCTGGAGGATCAGCTAGGATTCCGTCTTTGTCTCCACTACAGGGATTTTGTCATAGGGGCGGGTAAGTCCCCCCCCCCCCCCCCCCCCCGGTAGATACAGTCCCCATTGATTCGTACTGATGGATAAGTTCTTTCCAGTAGAAAAATTTACCCTCTCAGTAAATGGGCAGGAGGTAAGTCACCCCAGTATATAGATTGGTGGGAGTAAGCCCCCCCCCCCCCCCAAGTAGATAGATAGGGATGATAAGTTTCCCCAAGTTGATACATAGGAGCAGGTAGGTTCCCACCCTAGTAGCTACATATGGGCGGTAAAGTGCTGCCTAGTAGGGATATAACGACGGTTAATTCATCCAAAGTAGAAACATGAGGGCGGGTAAGTTCCCCATTCCCAAATAGATACATGAGGGTATCCCCCCCCCCCCCCCCAGTAGATACAGAGGGGAGGATAAGTCGAACTCCAGTAGATACATAGCGCAAGGTATGTCAACCCTCAGTAGATATATATAAGGGCGGGTAAGTCATACCCTCTCCCCAAGTGGACAGATATAGGGGCGGGTAAGTCATACCCTCTCACCAAGTAGACAGATATAGGGGCGGGTAAGTCATACCCTCTCCCCAAGTGGACAGATATAGGGCGGGTAAGTCATCCACCCAGGTATTACATAAGTCCCCCAATAGTTACATAGGGTCGGGTACGTTAACCCCCAAGTAGAATCATAAGGACAGGCAAGCCACCTCTAAATAGATATGCAGATGCCTTAGATACATGTTTGATTTGAAAAGAAAAATAAAATAAAATCATTTATTTTTCAGCAATATTTGAAAACATAATTGAAGCAATCAACAACAGCAGACGGACCATTTTGGTTTTATCTCCACGTTTTCTAAACAGTGAGTGGACGCGCTATGAGTACCAGGTGGCTCTGCAGGAGATGCTGAAGAAGAAGCACAGAATCATTCCCGTGATATTCGAGGACATTTCTGATGTCGAGGATATTGATGAGACTCTGAAGCAAATCTTGTCTTCTATAACCTACATCAAGTGGCCAGAGACGGAGAAGAAAGAAAAGCACTTCTGGAAAACTCTGCAGTTCTCTCTTCCAAAGAGGAGGATGCAAACAAGCTCGGGTTCTGTCAGTACCGGGGTCAGCTCTATAGAACCCCCGAGTCCAGTAGACAGTGAACCAACTAGTCTGTCCTCAACTGACAAAGTGATAAATAGTCCATCAAAAGATGTCATTTCTGACATCAGTGGTGTGAATATTGAGGTCATCAACGACTCCTTCATTTATAATAACATAGCATACGTAAATAACATTGAAAGATCAAAATCAAACACAGTGACTAACTCGAGTAAAGATCAAAATATTCAGTATATGGGGGAAAAGCTATGACAGTGTTGAGTAATTGTACAATATTGTATCCATGGCGTTAAATATTGGTTATTTTCATTTAAAAGAATTAATTCACTGATGATATACGCAGCGGGAATAACTGAGATTATTTCTAATTTAATGAAATAATACAAGTAAGCTCCCTTCCTCTAGATATGACATACGAATTATTTAGAATACTATCATGAAAAGGCTTTATATCATTTGCACGTAACTACTAGAGGCAAATTTGATAAATTATCATCAGAAGTAGTATAAAAATGTTGAATTGATATCCAAATAGTGTTGGTTACGTGTTAACTACTATTACTTCTGCTCTGAAGAATTATACAAGACTTATCGTTAAGCAACATATATTTGACTTTTGAAAGTATTTATCATATACCTTTCATTATTTAAGGAACTTACATACGAATTTCCTATATTCCCTGATTTGAAGGCATGTGGAATGAATTTATTCATATTACCTCGGCTTTGTCACTTAGTCACTTTATCGTTAAAAATGCCATGTCGCTTCTAGATTTCTGCTTTTCCAACTAAAAAAATTAATGGTTGTCTTATCAATGATGTGATATCGATCACAGAATTATATTTTTTAGGCAGTCTGGTCCCAGTTTTAACGATATTTTGATAATATGCTTATAGATTTTTTTTTTGAAATATTTGAAAATGTCTTCAGCGGGATGAATTCGTTACCCAGTCAGTTAAGGACCTAATACGGAATCATACAGGGTGTGAAACTAGAAAAAAATTGTCGTGTTAGCATACCGGAACATATAAATCGACTCGGAAAGAAATAGAATATATTCCTATCAAATGAGTAAATGAATTCCGTAATATTCTCATAAATTTTTTTCACGTACGTATAAACGCTGTCGCCAAAATCTTCGAACATCAGTTACAGCTTGTTTAAATTGTCAAACCCGGGCCCCTATCCGTAAGTGTATATATAATTGGTACTAAAAATATCAATGATATTGATAATTACAAATTAAGTTAGTTAAATTGATTTTTATTGGTTCCTGACACTCAGGATATCCGCTCCAACCAGGAACGACAACTCTTAAAATTATCAGTCTTAAAATGAAGCTTAAAATTGTTTTTTTTTGTGCAACAATTTTAAATTCACGCATCTCAATATGATTCAAGGTTCTTTGAAATCTTAGAATCGGTCTTGTAAAAAGTTGACATTTGTACACCATCAAAATATAAAAATAAATACATTTTTAGATAAATCGAATGTCCTTCAATCTAGCTTTAGATACCAATGCTTATGAGTATTTGTGATAAGAAAATAAAATGATCTATGTGACTTGCAATGAAAGCACAAACTTTTACACTGTATATTATATAACAATTGAAGTTAAAAGAATTAAATACCATACAAGTATGAAAAATCTAATTTCCTCCGAATGCCTGCATACCTATAGATTTTTTTTATCTAAAAATATTCTCGATTATAAAAGTAATACCATGGGTAAACATATAAATATACATTACTTTAAATTCAGAGATATTTTTGTGAGCATTTTCAATTTCTTAACTGATGATTTTCAGAAGCTGAGGACCAGACTACCTTAAAGGTATAATTCTGTGATCGCTATCACATCACTACCTTTACAAGTATGGAATGATAAAACTTTGAATATCATTTATTTTCATTTTTTTCTGAATCTGAAGTTCAAGGACAAACCGTTTATACAAATCTACATTAACAATCAGATTATATTCCTCAGTATATCTTGCAAGTGTTCATTTGGGCAATAAAGAATATTTCGTACAAACTAGTTTTAGCGACAGCAAAGAATTTTAAATGATGCTTAATACCGCGGTCCATTCATTATAATATCCAGCTGTTGCACAAGTCCTGAAGCTCCCTGTAATTAAACTTAATAGTGTCGTTTTTAAGACAATTCATCATAATTATTGACTCTCATTCTGTTGATCAAATAGATAATGTTCATTAAATATACATTGAAAACTTGGTATTTTTGTTTTGAAATAATATTACATCTGATTTATACAATTGTAATCTGTCTATCGTATTCAGATCTGGGGATGCAGTAAACAGTAAAGACATTTAAGCCCTTAAACCCTTTTTTATCTCTTAAGAACGTATACGTATCAAACGATTTCTGATTTAGATATTATATAGTTTTTTGAGGGTATATAACACTAAATGTCAAAAGCTTTTAAGATGTTTTTTTTATTTACTTATAACTATTAAGAATTTTACATTCTATATTGATGCACCGGTTTGATTATGTACAGATTACAGTCGCTGGTTTTTACAATATGAGCCTGTGAACAGTTTTTTTGTCACATGATGAACTGCGTTTCTCTGTTTTTCCCCATTAACGTTGCCTTACTTTTATTTGGAAGTTTGATTTAAATTTAATATGAAAAGACTTGGAAAAATCTTATTCGATACTCTGCTACCCATTTCATTAAAAAACAATACTATTGTCAATCATAATGCTCATAATTTTTGACTTTCAGTTTTCTTTTACGCGTCAAGGTGTCTCATTTATGATTAATTACAAAGGAAGAAAATCTTACCATTCTTTCAAAAAACTTCTTAATATAATATATTTTTATGAGATTTATCTCGGTAATTCACAGATTCCACAAGAGTCATTTTGAAAATTGTAAATTCAATCAAATGGTGTTAAATTTCACGTTTTTTTTTTTTAAAGAATTGAACAAAAATTTCATTCTTAAATGTTTTTTTTTTCTCAAATAGTTCCTCTTAAACAAAGTCAATAAGATATCTCTTGAAAGTATACCAAAACAGATTCATAAGTTATCGTCTCAAAAGTATAAAAATCAGTCATGTCATACTAAAGTCTCTCTCTCTCACAAAAACATCAGCTACTGTAAAGGAGAAAATTCAGTTGTTCTGTGCTATAGCATGTTTGAGATGCGGTGTAAATCAAATGTGGATTCTTAAAAACTCAAAATAACTTTTAGAAAATTTAAAATCACATAATCAAAAGTCAATAACATCAAAACGTATGACTTTTCTACACTTTATACAACGGTTACCATTCCTCACAATAAATCAAAAACTCAACTTTTTGTGACCTAGACAACGGCTTCCATAATCAAATTGGAACTCAGAAATTTTCATGTCTTGTGATTGGTCATCTACAAAATTACTTTGTTAAATATCACTTTGATTCTATGCACAAACACTCTGAAGTTAGTCTTCCAAACACTGTTGGAAATTCGATGGGCACTAATTGTGCTCCTTTATTAGCCGACCTGTTTTAATATTCCTATGAAGCAGAATTAATTCAAAAACTTCTACATGAGAAGGAAAAAACACTTGCTGTGGCCTTCAACTCGACATTTCGATATATCGACGACGTATCATCAATTAACAGTAGTTACTTCCATTCATATGTCGACTCGATATATCCCAGTGAACTTGAAATAGAAGATACCACAGATTCTGCCACATCCGTTTCATATTTGGATGTTTTACTGACTATAGACGATAAGGGTCAACTAACAACTAAATTGTATGACAAACGAGATGACTTCAGCTTTTCCATCGTCAACTTTCCTTATTTATGTTGTTATATTCCGTTATCACCTGCATATGATGTTTACTTCTCCAACTTATTCGATACTCAAAAGCATGCTCAAAGAACGATCAATTTTTAAACAGAGACAGGCTACTGACAGATAAGTTGATACTACAGGGATTTCAACAATATAAAGTCAGCATTTCGTAAATTCTATGGTTGTAATTGTGACCTTGTTAGCAAATATAACCTACCATATGGTCGTATTTTGACTGACGTGTTTCATACTCAATGTTAGGCCTTTGATTTTATACTGAATTTGACTACGGACTGTTCCCTCTACCTGATCAATACACAGGGACGATTAATTCTTCTAGACACCTGATCACACCTTTGGAATTTCCAGGTTCCGTGTTTTATGCCCTGTTCACAGATTTCTTTGTTTATGGAATTTTTTTTTGATCGATCACTGTTCGTTATCTTCACCTTTTTCACATCTCTTTTGAAATATACTTTCAGTGTGGTTAGATTTATATTAGCTCTTATACATTTTATATGAAATTTTTGTATTTTTTTTAAATGGTTTTATTTGCAAATAAGATGCTCCAGTGTTTAAAATTAAATGCACGATATAAATATTTAATAAAATATGTTAAGATATTGTGACTGATATATTTTCATACCAATTGTTAGGCCTTTGTTTTAATATTAAATTTGACTACGGATAATTCCTTCTACCTGATCAATACATAGGGCTCACAACGAGTGTGATGGGTGGAAAGGGTATGCTTACCCATCCTAGGCACCTGATCCACCTCTGGAGTTTTCAGGAATCTGTATTTTATGCCCTATTCACATATTTGTATTGTTAGTAGGATTTTTGAGATTATCACTGTTTGTGCCACGGGGGAGTGAGCATCCCCTGCCGACTCTAGTCGGAAATTTTCAAAGGGAAGATTAATAGAATGAAAAATGTGAAGATAAAGAGCAGTAATCGATCTAAAAAAAATCTATAAACGATACATGAGAATTGCTTATGCAAAGATGCACTATATCACGCCTCATCATGCTCATACCTCTCATCAGCTTAAACAAAAGTGCGTGGACCGGAAGTCTAAGGGTTACTACACTGCACCATATTCGAGGAAATTCGACATCAGCATCTTAAAAAGACTTCAGAAAAGGTACTTCAAAAAGGTTGAAGAATATTACTTCACTCAAATCAGTAGACTGATAAACTTAATAGAATCCGAGTTGCAGTTGCATTGCGGACTTGCATGCTATAATTGATTGCGGGGGTAGGGGTTGGGGTGGGGTGAACGGTTATCTATTACTCTCCAAAGTTAAACGATAACATTCAACTTTTCAATCAAATTTCTGTATTTTTAATCAAGTTTTGACTGAAATGAAAAATGAATATAACGAACATTAATCTAGCTCAAAAGTCCAATGAAACGATACAAATTTGGAGAAAAGCAAACATAGACCTTTAAAACATCAGAGTTGGGATCAGGTGCCACGGAGGAGTAAGCATCCCCTGCCGACCGGTCACACCCGCCGTGTGCTTCTTGTTTTCTAACTGTTAAAATCCCTGTTAAATTGTGAATGTCTTTAGGTAAATAATTAAGATATCTAAAGTTAACTGCTTGTTGCGTTTCTTTTGCCTGTCAATATATTAAAAGCAAAA